CTCGAATTTCGATCCTCCCGTCATCTCCGTCGCCCAATCAACCAGGCTCTGGTACCACTTGTTGAGTGAAGATGACAATATGGCATACGAATTAAAAACGAGAAAAGTAAATAACACAAGATTTACGTGGTTCGGCAATGTGCCTACGACCACGGCGGCTGAGGGATCTTTATTATTCTCAATAGTCACAAATACATCAATACACCATGTATTTATACTATAACCTTACAAGGTATTAATTTACTTAAATATCCTGTACCGTATGCGACCGAGCGAAGTGAGCGGAGTGGAGCTCGCAGGCATGAGCCTGCCTCCTTCCTTTGTCAATATATAAGCCATATCAACATCTCGTAATCAATCATTGTTTGAATTCAATTTTCAACAGTTCTCTCTCAAAACACTACCTGAAGTCAGGTAAATTCAAACTCAACACTACAAAAACTACAGATATTATCTATAAATATGATATTTGTGGTAAACTAGCACTTAAAAAAATATAAAAATACAATTAAAAATAGCATTTACAAACAAATCAAAATAAATATTTAGAGGGTTGATAGACTAAGTTAAATCACTTATTTGAACCCCATGTAGAATGACCTCTCTCTATTTTTGTTGTTATTTATATAGGAAAATGTTACAGTCCCGTTACGGAACCTTTCCGTCGGGATTTGTAATCGGTAGATCATCATGTAACCGTCGTGGATAGTTGATCCAACGGTTACAAACCCGACGGAATGGTTCCGTATAGAATCTCCCATATATATATATATATATATATATATATATATATACATGTCAATAATTAAGCATTTTAAGTACTTAAATATATAATCCGATCTAATTATCTGAAGCTAAGCTTAGATTACAGTCTAGAATGTCTAATGTTTGTTTAATATCTTGATAGTGAAGTCCATTTTGGGGCCTCCTTTTCAGATTAAAATAAGCTCAAAGGAAAGCCCCGTGAATCAAGAGACTGAAATTGGGGGGGAACTTAATTTGGTCAATCAATAAGACAAATCAAATGTGCGCTGTGTTCGCCGATAAAGTGGACATATTTTTAGACGGCAACATAAACACCACATTACATATGTTGTTAATGCAAAGGCTTTTAGTTGGGTGGAGACATGCACATGTCATGGGATTAATTAAAACTTAATCATGTTCCTTAAATTAAGCTAATCCAGCAGTTTGATTAGGATTGTGGAAGAAATATCATCGTAAATGTAATTTTGCCACGTGGGCAATTTCTGGTGCGTTATCCGTCACGTGAGAACTCCAATTAGACGTGTATGTTGTGCTTGATGGAGAACTGGGTTTGACTTGTTAGTTCTAACAATTAGTATCAGAGCCACGGTTGGTAACCCAGTTGCAATGTGGATGACGTGACATTTTCCCAGAGGAGCCGTTCAAGGGAGGCCAAAGTACCTGTGTTTAAGGGGAGGTTTTTTGGGCGTGCAAACTCAATCTCACATCGAAAAATTAAAGGTTTCAGGTCTAATATATAAGTTTGGTGGGCTACTACTTCTATTTTCAATTGATTTTAGAATAAGTTATTATTTGAGTTTGTATGTTGGGATTAATGGAGAACTAGGCTAGAGTTGTTGGTCCTAACAATTATTTCCTTTGTTCTATTTCCATTATGTTATTTGCTAAAAGCTATATGTAATATTTATGAAGATGGGGCAGTTAAATCAAGGGAAATTTTCATTTATACGTTATCCATTTTAAAAGAATTGCATTATTTGCAAGTATGTCGAGCTTAACATAATTATTTGGATAACTACAATATCACAACCAAACAATGAATCTCGTAACTGACGGGATTCTTTCATTAATTAAAAAGAAAAAAAAAATTGAACTAAACAATCACGAACAACGTCAATCACGAGCAGCGTTGTCCATTGTCTGAGCAACGAGATGGTGGAGAACACAACATATACAGAAAATATACATAGTATAAACAGTATATATACGAAAAATATACAGTATATATACCTAGAATCATGTCGATCCTTATGATTTTCAATTCAAAACCTTTATACCAAAAATCCAAACTATACACATTCTAATAGTGTGCATACGAAAAACATAAACAGTATATATACGAAAAATATACATTATATATAACTAAAACCACACAAACAACAAAAAAAAACATAAATATATAGCATATATACAGTCTGGTTTGGTCCTCCGCTCAACTAAAACATATTCACTAAATTCTCTGATGACCTCCGCCGATAATCCCGCCGTCCCTGACCACTTCAATGAGTACGAGGACATCCTCAACTACAAGGAATTTATGATCACGATGAAGACGACTCTACCTCCTCCGTCGCCCTCGCCGCGATCGCCCTTCCCCATCCACCTCCGACGCCAGGTCACGATCGCCCTTCGTCTTCTCACGCCCCCTTGGACAAACTATGTTAATGCGTGACCCTCCGTCGTCGGTGCCCGACAAATCGAGTTTTCCTTTTATCAATCTAATGTCTGATGAAGACGGCCAACGACCCTTCTAAAGCCATGGAGATGACGGATCTACTAGCAGGGATCCAGACCATACACACGTTGGGCCTTGGGAGCGGTGGGAACAAGGACCACCGGCCTCGACTCGGTGGAAATCGGCTTCAGCGACGCAATTGCAAGTCGTCGGTGGAAGGAGGATCGAGATTTTCAGAAGGGAGAAAATAGTTTTTCTACCGCTGGTGGAGGGCGGGAGTAGTTATTTGGAATGTGATAAGTTTTCCCCATTTGTTATGCAGAATCTTGATTGAATATGTAAACTAATTACTTTCTTGATATGTGGTACTTTTGCAAATAAAATCTACAGATTCCATTAACTTGCTAATATTTATCAGAATGTTCTATTTATGTAATAAAAAAAAACTATATATGTGGTGCAATTTCCTCTTAAATCAAGTTATTCGAAACTCCCTACTCGGCCAAACAAAATTAGGAATCCAATTAAACATTGAATTGAAGTACTTTTTTAAGCTCCAAAATAAATCAAAATTCACAATACAAACATCTACAAGAAGATGCATATGCATGTGAGACTAGGACATAGGTAAAATAATTGAAACCTTTTCTTATACACCTCACATAATGGTGCCAAGTTTTGTTTATGAAAGACGATAAACTAATGCTTCATAGGAGGGGACTTAATTAAATAAACATCTTAGATTGGCTTTAGACTTCTCAAAAAGTCGCAGGAATCTTAAAGAGACATGCATTATGAATGGATTTCTAGGAAGTCTTCTTGGCTTCTTTAGTTATTTTTGCAGTTAGCATCTTGCATAAGAAGACAGATTAAACATCATTTTAAAATAGAGAATCTTGCTACTCGTAAAGGCCTTGGTGACAGGATAAAAGCGTCACAAATTTATAGGTATGCTGAGTGTCTAACCTATCAACCATTTCATTATCATTGTTTAGTGGGAGATTCTAAGGTCCCGATACGGAACCATTTCGTCAGAATTTATACCGTTTGATTAACTATCCACAACGGTTACATAATTAAACGATTATAAATCTCAACCGAATTGTTCTGTAACGAGACTGTAGTGTTTCCCTTGTTTACTAATTATTTCTTTGGATTAGTTCTTTTATCCAAAATTGAAAAAAAAAAAAAAAAAAAAAAAAAATCAAAAAAAAAAAAGAATCAGAATTAAGTGAACTGTTTTTTAGTTCTTACGAAAATGTTATAATTCTGCTTGTAACTAGCGAGAAGAAACTATTTCAATTTAGGCACACAGCAACAATCACTAAATTGCATTTCAGTATGAAATTTCATTCTGATGATGCCACAACAAACAATATCTTGGCACACCCTTGTGCCAATACAACTGAAAATATTAAAGAGTAACAAACAAAATTACTGTTACAACAAAACGAGAATAAATTCCTATCGTCACCCCCAAGTCCGTCCTCCATTACTGCTCCTATAAAAGCTCCAATCGAGAGCTCGACACCAATATTCAACAGCGCACAAAAACCGAAAAAGAAAAAAAAAAGAAAATGCAAATCCAATGTACACAGTCAAACCTCTACATCTCCCGGAATTCGTCAAACTATAATATCGCAAACCATAAGTCCGCCAAAAATATTACGAGAATACCAACTTTAAAAGATGTTTACTTTTTGTCGGAACCTTTGAGGTTAAGATTAAACCATTTTTTCTTTGAAGATTTATCCTTGGAATCGGCACTGCCCTCTTCTCCTGGCGGACTCTCTTCACCTGTGAATTTGCTACTGCCACTCCCGTTGCTAAACTGACCACTCCCACTGGGAAAAGCTACGGTTCTGGAAACTGTGAAAGAGGAGTGGATACTATCTCGTTGTTTTAGCAGTTCATCAACCTGTCCAAGTATAAGTATAGCACAAATGATGAGAGTCGAAAGCCACCAAGAATTGAGGTGGGAATGATAATTCAACCAGTCGAATGCAAATAATGGAAAGAAAATAATCAATTACCACTCTAGCATTAAATGAATATACAATTGCACAGAAGAAAAGGCAAGTTTCTTTTTATCTTGCAAAAGATAATATATTTACATAAATTGGCATGTCAAAGGGAAACCAGATTCATCATCTAAAGTTATTACCGCATAAATAGATATTCTTCTTCTCTTACAAAACTTTTGATCATTAAGTTATACACCTAATCAAGATTATCGCAACCAGAAAAAGAGAACCACCACAAAAGGAGAGGGATCAGGGAGTAGGTGTGGGTGAAGAAGTACAAAGATTCTTGGGATGCAAACTTACGGACTGCTTTTCCTGGCTGTATCGGTTGGTGACTTCTTGGAATCGTGCCAACGCCTGAAGTCAGAGGGGGGAGAACAGTAAGGAATCTATAGGCAAATATCAAACTTACAAAATAGATGAAAGAAATGGGGTAATTTGGATGAATAATCTACCTTCCTATATTCAGTCTCAAATTGGCGAAGCTCATTTCTCTTCCTCAAGATCTGAGCTTCGATATCCTTAAGCTTATTAGTTGTATCCTCATAAGTCTTCGCACAAAGAGCCTCAATTGTATACGAGGCAGTTTTGAAGAAATTATCTCCTGAAGTAATCATGAATAGTATTCAAATTTTGTTTCAATCGTTGTACTTCAATTAACATGCCATGAAATTGGAACAGTACGCATCAAACAAACAGTTTCCCACCATAAACTGCGAATATGTGAGTGCCGGATTTTAGGTCCGAGACCTCACAAGGTTGAAGTCCTTCGAGTCTTTTGAAGAAAGCAGCTTCTGGGTCTTTGGCCATTGCTAGCTGTGTACCACATAAAGAAATATATTTATCGAGGAACATAATTTTTTTCCAGTTGAAAGGAAAAAAGAGAAACTACTCACCGCATTAACAGTTGAATCCATTCTGTACACTTGGAAATGCAAAAAGTACATCCCAGCTGATGTAACCTTGTTTGTTTTCTCACTATCTTCCTGTGAAGATCACACGAAAGAATTTGCAAATGAGATATGTAGCTCCACCGTAAAACTCAGAACTCATTGAAACAATTAACAAAAAATGATACGGAATATATATTCGAATGACACACGCTTTAAGAAGTCAAAAGGATATAGAACTGTACTTTAACAACCTACATGGCCAACCGCGAGAAACTTATGTGCTACTTGTTCCTAAAATTTAGGAATCTGTATATTTTGACTGATAAAGATGGAACTATACAATAAATCTGAAGTATCCATCGTCAGCAGAAGTTGTGGATTGGCATGAGATACAAGAGAATTGGAGGAAAATCATGTCAGCAGTCACTTGATTAACAAAAGTATGATTAGACTTCAAATGAGGATGAAAAATCATTTTACCTCCAACTCATTTCCATACGGTAGGGCTAAACGTGAAATAAGACCATCTCAATGTCTCATCAAGTTTTAAAGGGACAAAAGGACAGGAGAAGATCTGATTCAGAAGTTGAGTATGCATCACCATATACTAGACATATGCATTTACATGATCAGAACACATGTAGAAGCAAAATAGAAAAAAATTCACAGGGTAAGCCAATGGAGGGGGTGGGGGTGAGGTGGGATTGGGGGGGGGGGTTGTTGTACGTCGACTGCTACATAATCTCTCTCTTCCGAAACTATAGAAATTGGATAAGTCAAAAGGCGCTAACACGTATAGTTGTTCTCAGACAACAATTACAAGTATGTAGAGTAAATCATAAAAAATGCTCTTCAGGCTGCAGAGAAAAAAGGGCAAATAAGTACTAAGTCCTAAGATTTTAACAAACAGTGGAAACAAAGATGAAATTACCTGCAACGCCAATCCATATCCCCCATTAGCATCTTGTTCAAAATACAAGAGCTGAGAATAAATCGAAATTGAACCTTCAGCTTAGAAGTATAAATCATGTATGCATATCAATAAGAAAAGGGCAAAAGGGCATTATGCATTCTTTTCATCATAAGCCAAATAGTTTCTCCATGACACAAAAGGAACATGAATACATACCTTAAATTTGCTTTGTGCAGCAGAAGTAACTCTAACTACTATGCCTGACTCTGCTTGTTCTTCACTGATGGTGACACCAAAGAAGTGGGCACACTGTTTCTCGACCTGTTTGCGATATTAGCAAACAAGATTAAAACTAAAAGTAATAAACTTTATACAAGAAAAATGCATGTGATTATTTAGTTTGCAAGGACCATATGTACCTTTCCACTGACTGAAGTTCCTATAGGAAGAGGTCTAACCGTGACAGTACCATTTAAAGCCTCTTCAAGAACATTAGCAGAAATAGTAGTCTTGATAGGCACACCCAATTTGCTGTCGAAATGAAAGCATAAATAATGAATTTACGCGTTAAAGGCAAACATTCAAACATCCAATTCCAAAATCTCAATGAATACCTGAATAAAGCGGCAAACATTGTGTTGACTGTTCCAAGATTTGACAAATCAATCTCCATATCCATTCCTTCAGCGTCAAGGGCCTTATTACCATTAACCATAGATGTCAAAACAATTAACACAGACTAAAAAGTGGATGTTAATTACAATGCAGCAACATAGCAAACGTTTCAGGTAACATTTAAGTGCCCATATTTGATAGTCATCCTCGATCGGGAGGTTAGGAAATGTCCACAACAAAAGACTAGCAAAAGAAAGAGTACCTCAAATCCTGAATTATCATATTGCCTCCTCTTTTCTGGATCCGACAAAATGCTATACGAATATGCAACCTCCTTAAAAAGCTCTGAAGCTTCAGGATTGTTAGCATTCTTGTCCGGATGGTACCTGACAATCCAAAAATAATTACTACATTCCAAGGAAATTTATCAAACAACCAGTTTCCAATTTTCAGATTGTGAGTGCACATTGTAAAAGATAGCATTTGGGAACGATGCCAGAAACAAAAACGCATCATGAACAATACATGTTTCTGAACAATATCTTTAATTATTAAAACCTTCCTTTTCCTCACAGTACCATATGTTTTCCATTAAGAAAATTATATATTACGTCACACTCTCTCATTGAAAACATCACCAGTCCTTTCGAGCAGGAAACATGTCTTTCCTCTTATCAGATAACAGCTTAACATTACTTTGGAAAAAATAACTCTCATATCCAAGACAACAGCATAATTTTATATTCATTTACTTGACTTACGGTTACCCAAAAAAAAAAAAAAAAAAAAAAA